TATCTATCTATTATTTAGGAATTGTTTGTACGTTATCTATCTATTATTTAGGAATTGTTTGTACGTTATCTATCTATTATTTAGGAATTGTTTGTACGTTATCTATCTATTATTTAGGAATTGTTTGTACGTTATCTATCTATTATTTAGGAATTGTTTGTACGTTATCTATCTATTATTTAGGAATTGTTTGTACGTTATCTATCTATTATTTAGGAATTGTTTGTACGTTATCTATCTATTATTTAGGAATTGTTTGTACATTATCTATCTATAGGAACTACATATTCTTTCACTCTAATATACAGTATTTTTAGCTTGTGAATATTTTTTTAAGAAACAGTAATAATTTATAAAATATTTGTCGAAAACAGTTTCATATTATATGTTCAAACTTTCTTCTCTGCCTTTAAATATTAAAATTTCATATTATTTACCCCCTCATTTTTATGGGTATATTTATATGTAGAGTAACTTTATTTATAGAGAACTTTGCAAAATTAGATTCCTGCTATTTGTAAGTCAGTGCTAATTATATTCAGTATTTCCTCTAGAACTGTAACCAAAAAATTAGCTCTTTATTATCAGTAAATATATTACTTGTACTAAATATAGTCACTTCACAATGTTTATATTAAATTTGATGGTAAGTAACTTTAATAGGCAATAACCCTCTGCACTGCTTGTTTTTCAACAAGATGTTAGCACATATAGGTTAGCTTCTGAAAACAGTTGTTATTTCTGATTTAAATGTTGGGTGAAAAATGTATGTGTAAACCTCTTAATGTTGCTTTATAAATGACTTTTGAACTAGGAATTTTTTGGGTTGTATATTAGTGTTGCATTAGATGTTGTGGGTTAAAGTTAGAAGTGTTTTTTTTATCGGTAAGATAATTCTTCTTGTTTGTTGCTTATTCTACCAATGAACAACTTCTCTTTCAGAGCTACCTCTACCAGATTATACAAGCCATCCTATTCTGTCACCAGCGAAGAGTCTTGCATCGAGATCTCAAGCCACAAAACCTACTTATTGATCAGAAAGGAGTAATTAAAATTGCAGATTTTGGTCTGGCACGAGCCTTTGGAATTCCTGTACGAGTATATACCCATGAAGTGGTTACATTATGGTATCGAGCTCCAGAAGTGCTACTTGGCTCTCCGCGTTACTCAACTCCTGTAGATGTCTGGAGTATTGGATGTATATTTGCTGAAATGGCTAACAAGAAGCCACTGTTTCATGGAGATTCTGAGATTGACCAGTTGTTTCGTATTTTCAGGTAACAAATAATGTAAAAGAAATGCACCTCGGCTTTTGTTTATCCTTTGTTTTTATTATTTAGGAAATTGTTATTCTCGGGACAAACCAGTCAGTTACCTTCAGTTGTATAGATGTTTGTAGATAAATGAAAAGAAGAAAATAACGATTTTAGGCACAATGAAACATGAAGCTTTATTAGTTAACCTGTTTTGTTAAAATAGTAACCATCATCAACCAATTAATTGGCTTTAAGTAACTAATAAAGATTTGTTTCACTGTGCCTAAAACTGTCATTTTCTTCTATTCATTTATCTACATGCTACAGCATTATGTCCCTTAAAAGAAGTTATGTATAAATGTGATTCCTACAAAACAGATTTTCTGAGTTAAAGAGTATGCTAGACTAATTGGCCTAACAGCTCGATGTCCCCTTACTGAAATTTACCAAGAATGTTAAAGAACCAATCCTCATTTCTCTAAGTGTAATGGGATATTTTTGTATGCAGTCAGTTATGCACTGTGAAGTTTTATATTGTTTTAGGACAGAAGTCGAGTGAGTATGTTTAGAGAGAGAGCGCTGGGGGGTTGCCAATCCCGAGTCTAGTCGGTTCTTCAGAGCATCCAAAGTAATTCTATATTAGTTGTGATGGAAGAAAAAAAAAAGGAAACCAAAGCTGTTGAAGAATAGTCTAGGTTAATAACTGTGATGACCTAGGGTTGTTGATCCATTTCTAGCATTAGCCACCTGCTTGTTTTGTCTGATAAGAAAATGTTGTCTTTTAATCTGTGTGATCACAATCTTATGATTACAACATTTTTTTTTTATTCTTTCTCATTTTGAGTCACCTTAACAGAACTGATAAAAATTTGGCATCGTTTAGAAAACTGAGTATTGGAAGAAAATTTTGTTGACAGATAACAAGCCTTATTACACAAATTGCGGGCAATCTATTTGTTGTTGCAATGTGTTTTTTTTTTAACTGATAACCTGCATTTATTGTTACATTATGTTGTCCTGTTCTATATTTCATTGAATCTTATAATAGAATTAAGTAATTAAATTTCTGTTGTGAAAATATTTTTATTTTGTAATTAATTAGTCACGTATGTAATGTTGGTTTAAAGAAAATAATTTATTTGAATAAATTCATTTTCATATAATTTTTGACAACCCTCACTAGCATAATAGCATGTGTGTGTGAAAATCAAACCCTGTTGATATTTCTGTACTTTTTACTGAGATTTATTTTAAGTAGTATTTGGCTTGGTAAGTGAATTACTGTTAACGGTGGTAGTATCAGGATACTAGGTAGGTTAATGATTGTTTACAGTGGTAGTATCAGGTTATCTAGGTCACCTACCTAGATAACCTGATACTACCACCGTTAACAATCATTCACCTACCTAGTATCCTGATACTACCACAAAACAATCATTCACTTACCTAGATGACCTGATAATACCACCGTTAACAATCATTCACCTACCTAGTATCCTGATACTACCACCGTTAACAGTAATTCACCTACCTAGATGACCTGATAATACCACCGTTAACAGTAATTCACCTAATGATTGTTACGGTGGTAGTATCAGGTTATCTAGGTAGGTGAATGATTGTTTACGGAGGTAGTATCAGGTTATCTAGGTAGGTGAATGATTGTTTACAGAGGTAGTATCAGGTTATCTAGGTAGGTGAATGATTGTTTACAGAGGTAGTATCAGGTTATCTAGGTAGGTGAATGATTGTTTACGGAGGTAGTATCAGGTTATCTAGGTAGGTGAATGATTTAAACGTTTTGTAATCTTTTAATAATATGATATGGATAAGGCTTAGAAGATGAACCTCGACTCTGGGTTTTCATAAACAAAACTTGTGCCAATTACTCATAGTTTCAAATAACAAGTAACAAACTGTAGTTTATAGACTAAAGGCTCACCGAAACTACTCTATATAACGATGCCATATACTTCTATAAACAAACTGTGTTCAGTAATACCTGAAGGATATCTATCCCACTGGTGTCCAACTGGCTGCAGGTGGAAGGAATGATATAATCTTTCCAGCTTGGAAATGTTGGTTTATAGTCAGGAAGTTGAGAAACACCAGGCCACACCTCTTCTGTTGGAGTTCCCATAGTCCTGTTGGGATTGAAATATTAAAAAACATCGGTTATGTTTGTGTGTTTTACAGGAAATTCCCTTCAATGCTGTCATTACTTTTTTCAATAGGCAACATGCAACAATATTCCAGTTTAACCTGCAACCCATTACCTAAAACATAAAAAATCAGACAGGTATAAATACTTCCATGTCAAAACAGTTAGTGTAAATGCAAGTCTCCTGAAACTAATGTGATAACCTGATATGAAATATTAACAGAGTTAAAAACCTGTCCTCTTTTGGGGGAAATATTCAATATCCATACTCAAACTAAAATCAAACTTCACTCAATACTTTTATCGTCTTTATACATAATTCTAGTGTTTATACTGACAAAATCTTATGATGATTTCTGTAACCTTATTACAGTCAAAATCAATGTCATCAAAACCCTGATACTACCACTGTAAGCAATCATTCACCTACCAAGATAACCTGATACTACCTCCGTAAACGAAAAATTGTTTGGCTGGTACTATTGTTATTGATTTAGCTAAATGATTGTCAAGAATATTTGTACAGATGTGTCCTGTCTTTATTAGTTGCTCGTGTTGAGATTGCAAATTATAAACGAGAAGGTTTATTTCAAACGCTGAGGTACACATCTAACAGAAAGTTTAAAAAATAACAGTATGAAATATTTAAAGTATTGGAAACCTTTTTATTTATTATACTCTTGAGACAAAAATTTTATTGCTTTGTTTTAGTTCCATGTAGATTTCTTGTAAAAACAGTTTGGTGAATACAGTATAGTAGCAGAGTAGCCCGACAACTAGTACATTGAATAGGTTTAGTAGAATATTAACTTGCATGATCAATCATATGTAAACCATTATTTTACATGTTTGGTGAATCACTGGACCAAATCTCACCAAACCTGATACCTACATTTACTCTAGAAGCCCCCCCCTCCCAAAAAAAAAGCAAAAAAGATTGTTGAATAATACGTTTGATTTCTATGAGCTAGTCACACTGATACTTTTCATGATGGGAAACAAAACCTGTCAGGTAATGTGTTATTGTCGAAACAGGATTTTAAAACTATTTCATGTAGTGTACTCTTTTATTTTCTATAACAGTGCTGCTACTAGCAAGTGTAATATAAGATGGGTCATACACCAACATTTTCTGGAAGAAACATCACCAACATTTTCTGGAAGAAACATTCATACTACACTTTTACTTTTCAACTTAATGACATTAACAATAGGACTTGAATCCGAGCTTTATATGACACCATGCTTTGAACAAGTTTTTATTGCATATACAGTTTTGACTTTGTAATAAACTATTAAATTTCTTTTTAATACTTTCTTTTATCAGATTGTTCCACTCCAAATACATATTGTTCTGTTATTAACACGTTTTGTAAAGCATTGATATAAGTGGAGATTGTCTACTAATGAAAGTTAATTTTTGTGTGGGTGTGTGTAAATATTGCTGATACAATAAAACTGGACACTTGAATGTGAAAAATAGAAAGTTTTATTGACGAACTTTTTATTTTATTTTTAGAACACAAACATGTTGAACAAAATCATCAAAACAAATAACAATAAAGTTGGTCCCACTTGTTTTTATAAAAATATATTTGTTTTCCCAGAAAACTGTTTAACCACCATCCAACATATACAATGCTTACTCAGATTTATGCACTGTATATTATATTAAATCATCTTCAGGTGCATATCCTTTGTTTCATAACATTTATCTACGTATCAGAAGACGAGAAAGAAGATAACAGAGGTAATTTGACAGGAATTAAATTAGCAACACATTTCAAAACAGTAAATACGGAAACTTACACATGCAAAGGAAAACTTCAGTAGAGTTAAGACACGGACCAACGGGAAATAAAATCGAAAAAAAGCAACATCAGGACAAACTGTAAACCACAGGGAAATGAGAAAGATACAAACGCTTCTGTCACATGGAAGAGGGAACATCAACTGTACGTTTCACTGGAGTAACCTTGAATTAAAGATGGTCCAGTCAAATGTTCAGTTTGTTGGAAGAGTGTTCTTATCCAAGTCATCAAAGTATGGGTGGTGAAGGGCTGCTAAGGCAGTTATCCTTTTAGATGGGTCATACACCAACATTTTCTGGAAGAAACATTAATACTACACCTTTAGATGGGTCATAATGGAACTTTATCTCCAACTTTCTTAATTCAAGCTTCTAATCTTCAATCCATTTTCTAATGTCATCAAGCCAAGTGAGTCTCTGCCTGCATCTCACACTTATTCCTTTGATCTTACCCACAATAATCCCAGCCATCCTTCCCTTAGATCTAATTTAGATCCGGCATGGCCAGGTGATTATGGCATTTGACTCACAATGTGAGGGTTGCGGGTTCAAGTCCCCATCCCACCAAACACCGCTCGCCCTTTCAGCCATGGTGGTGTTATAATGCAATGGTAAATCCCTCTATATTTGTTGGTAAAAGAGTTGGCGATGGGTGGTGATGACTAGCTGCCTTCCCTCTAGTCTTACACTACTAAATTAGGGACAGCTAGTGCAGATAGCCCTCGTGTAGCTTTGCGTGAAATTCCAAACAAACTAGATCTAATTACATGCCTATTGTGATCCCTGCCATCCTTAACTTAGATCTAATTATATGCCCATTATAATCCCTGCCATCCTTCTCTTAGATCTAATTATATGCCCATCATAATACCTGCCATCCTTCCCCAGGTATTATGATGGGCATATAATTAGATCTAAAGGGCATATAATTAGATCTAAGGGAAGGATGGAACTACAAGGCCATTATTGTCTTCACTTATATCTACAGTTTCTATAAAATCAGTGATCTTCAGGATACTTCCAAGCTAGTTACATCTCAACCATGATCGTCTAA